ATGCCCAAATCGAATGGCACAACCCCTGCTCACAGGAGAGCATCCGGCCGCTCCGACAGCAGCTGCAGGAACCCCAGCAGGGGCAAGCCCTGGCTTTCTTCTTCAGTTTTTGCTGGACTCTGAGCTCTGCTGGCCACACACAGGTTTTGGATGGAACTCAGCTTGATAATATTACTTTTTTCAGATGCCAGCCTTTGACGTTTCACTCACTGTAAGATTATATCCAATAATTTCTGTGATTTAAGAATTTTCTTTTTTTTTAACTAACAAAGCAAACTCAAAGCAGGTATGAAAACACAGCTAGGAGCCTGCTTTGATTGCTGTGAAGAACACTCTGTTTCTTCCACAGTAAAGCAAATTACTGCAGAGTACCAGCCAGATCATCAGCCAGAAAACTGGCATGAGAAGCGGCTGAGCCCAGGGACCTGCAGCCTCCCAGGCTGTGGGGAATCACATCTCCCGGAAGGAGCAGCCCGGGCAGCAGGGAACGGGGCACGAAGACTTAGGACAATCCCGTGCATATGTTCTTACTGTGCCCTGTGGGTGGTCTACCACTGCAACCTTGAGAAACACTGCTCTCTATGCTTCACAGAGATAAAGGTTTTAGCCTAGGCTTTTCCCACCTGTAAACATTAATGCACCTGATGCTAACTCTCCCCTGTACAAGCTGCCTGGCAAGTTCACCCAGCCCAAAAGCACAATTCCAAGGAGAGGTTTGAAGGTGTTAATAAGCCTCTCCTTAAAGGGACACACACACAACCTTAGTATAAATTAACATAAACTCATCAGCTGTCTTACTTGCTTGGCATCTGGCTGAAACAGCATGTTCTGGACAGGTGCAGAACGCTCTGGAGCCTGAGCTCAGGCATGCCAGCTTTGTGCCTGCCCTTTCCACCTCAATTCCCAGGACTCCACTGCTGCCATGCCCCAGTGCCTTCCTCCACTTCGCTCAGTAGGCACACGGTGTTGGTACACAGCTCAGCACACCCGCAATGCTGCTGCCGCACCTACAGTTCTGGAAAGTAAGGGGAGCTTGCAGACCCTTAACCCTCCAAGCACAGGCCTTGGATGACTGTAAGTACATCTTCCTCTCTGAAGCCAGTTTCTGTTACTTCACAGGAGTATGTGTACTCATTTGCTCATTAGTTTCCTGAGGACATAATTATATCATTAACCCAGCTGCCCAATGAGTGTGGCCACCATGCAAGCACGGGTCCTGGAACATGGCCATAACACAGACAGGCAGACATGGCCCCCATTCCTAGGAGGCTACATCCTAACAGGACACTGGGTCCAACTTCATTTACAGAACTAGCCAGTTAAAGCTGTGGGGGGCCATGGCAAAGATGGACACATGCTGGGGGTACAGAGCAGCCCTCTGTACTGTGTACCCTGGGCCCGGAGCACAGGGCTGGCATAGTGCTCTCAGGTAGAGGTCAGAGGGCTGCAGCACTGTCTTGGGGAAGGCAATGACAGGGAGGGAAAGTCGCACAGAGAAAGCAAACCATAGTAATAGCTAATCACGCATCATACATTTTAAGTTTCACTTTACCCTAATGTTTCAAACTACAGCAACCTGCATGAGTCAGAAACAAAACCCAGACATTCTGAAATCAACATCCAAGTGAAGTGTAGAAAGAACTTTGGGTTTTTGAAATAGCAATAACAAATGATGTAATACAGACAGACACACACCCCTGCTTTTCCATCACATGCTTTATGCGAAACAGGGCCTCCCCAAGTGCCTCACAGCAGTATCAATGATTCAAGGCAAATGCAGTGCCCTTAAGACCATACTGCTCTATCTACTTCATCAACAAATATTCACTGAGCACCTATGTGCCACATACTGTTCCAGGCACTGGAGATAAGAGAACACACCCTCAAGAAACCCATTTCTGCATGGTGGATGGAGCCCCCCTAAAAATAAAAAACAGGTAAGAGTTACAGTGTGTCAGGTGGTGATAATTACTGTGAGAAAAAACACAGCAGTGAAAGAAGACGAGATGCAGGTGGTGCAAACTTAAACTAGCAGACAGGCCCTTACTGAGCAGGTGGCATCTGAGCAAAGATCAGAGGAGGCAGGGAAGGTCTAAGGACACCTAGAGAGCCTTCCTGGCAAAGGACAGGCCAGTACAAAGTCCCCGAGGCAGGGGCAGATCTAGATTAGGGACTGTCCAGCTTGGCCCGCAGCACTGGTCATCTCCAGAGAGAACCCGAATGCCCCAGAAACACCCCTCCTGGGGTCACTTCTGGCACTTTCAAGCCACAAGGGAAGTAGCCTGGGAAATGGGGATGCCAATACAGGGCCCTGGAACCTCCTGGACTGGTGTCTGATGGCAGCCTAACCATCAGACTGTCCCACACCAGCCCAGGCTCCGAGATGCTGGCCACAAGACCACTGCCACAGTAGTGTCCTCTCCACTCCAGCGTCACGGGTGTAATGACACAGGGGCCTATCGCACTCAACCTTCCTCCTCCATCAAATTTTGCAATTTCCTTCCTGCACTGGCCACAGCATGCCAGCCAAGCCCCTCAGTGCAAGACCAGCTCTCAGAGACCCTCCCTGATGGAGAGATGCTTGTAAGGTCAGCTTGGTGCTATGCTCTCTTCCCACAGCACAGCTCCTGGCCTGGCTATATTTTAATGAATCATTTTACTTCTGCAGTTAAAGAAAATGATGGTTGCAATACTGCCTTTCAAGGCTTTAATTGTGAAGTGAAAAGACTATGAAAAAAGCCCTCTTCCAGTGTGAAAAGTCCAAATGTTTATTTGTGCTATAGCTGTTATTCTAAAGGGCTTATTTTTTTTTAACACTTTGAGTGGAAATGAAGTTGCATATATAGCACTGTGAGACCATCTGCCATGATCTGGGGGACACTGACGGGAGGCCCCACTGGGTGGGGGTCTTGTCAGGCTCTGGAGGTAGCTCTTCCAGTCCCCCAGCCCTGAGCCCTGGGGAGATAGCACAGCCTAGGTGACCCAGGACCTGCAGGTGAGTCATTCCTTCCTGACACAGTCCAATCAGCTTGCCACCCACGTATGGTAAGTAAATACTTTTGGTCACTCAATAGCTTCTGAAATTCAAATCTCTGGAAAAATTTAAAGCAGCAAAACCCTAAAAGTGATGGCCCACCATCTCTGTCCTCCCTAATAAAATGGAGCTGGTCACAAGAGAAGGTCTCAAGAACAGGGCCCCCTGCTGGGTCCCACCGGCACGTGTCACTACAAGGGTTAGGACAGCAGGCCTCTCTTACAGACACGTGCTTGGGCCCTGAACCCAAGGCCTGCCTACATCAGTGTCACTCCTCTGCCCCACCACCCCAGCCCCCCACCAGCCTTGTACCAGCCTCTGTCCCTCCCCCTGCCTCCCCTGCCCCCCTTCCTGGCACCAGCCCTGCCCCAGAAGTGCTGCACCCCCTCCCATTCTGTCAGAATGAGAGCTCCTGCAATGGTCCACTGCTGGGAGGCACGGGAAGTACAAACTGCATGGTGGCAGCACAGCTCTCCAGCTCTCTGGAGAACAGGGCAGGGCAGCTCTTCTCACTTGGACTCGGCTGGGGAATGAGTGCCTTTGACACCCAGGACCTTTGGAGCCTCTGAAAAGTGGGTCTCGCTGTGTGCCCATAACTCTACTCAACGTAAATCTCGTCCTAATCTGCTAGCTTGTCCTGGTGAATCAGAGCAGGAATGCCACCTGCTGCACCGGCCCCCACCCCGCCCCTGCCACCCCCACATCCCCACCCCAGGTGGCTACACGGGGTTCAGCTTAGGACCACACCACCCCTGTGCAAGAGTGCCTCAGACAGGAAGAAAAGCCCAAGTTTTAAACTAACTTCCAAATGAATTTGTTAAAAGAGAGTCCATCTGTAAACTGGGAATTTTCTGTAGACTGTTTCATAAAATTTGTATATAAGAATTTCAGAGTTTCAACTTCTTTAACTTTTTGAATATTAAGTTTAGCAATCTCCTCTTAGAAGTAGAAACTCTCAAGGGAAAATTAATTTGAGATGGAATTACATTTTCATATCCACCCGTGGGTAAAACTGTAACATTTCCAGAGTATTTTTCCTGGCTTTAGTACATCTGCATATATCAACAGGCGCTCAAGGGTGGAGAGAAGTTCATCTCCATATCAATGGGTAATTACCTGGGCGACGGAGGCCTTATCAGTACCTGAGAGGTGATGGGGAGGGTCGGTTTTGCTTCTGTCCGAGCAGGAAAGAGGGAAGGGCCGGGACTGCAGTTTGTGAGGAATAAAATGGGTTTTTAAACGTTATGTCTCCCTTTGACTGATTTTGGTTTTTAGGATATTTTGCCCTGGGATATCCTTTCCCCGGACTTACACCACCAAAAACATACCAAGGTTCAGTTTAACTAAGTAATACACTGCTCAGCCTCTAAGAGACTTTAGGAAAATGTCAGCATCAAAACACCCAGCATCCAACATTCAAAACTGCTAAATGTAATGGACATTTGATTGACAAGTAGATAAAAACTGCAAAAACACTGGGGCAAAGGAAAACAAATGACCTAGAGATTTCTCCCGACTTCCCACCAAGTCTCACACACACTTCACCTCTCCCAAAGCTGTGGACAAAGCCTCATTAACCCTTCGGAGACTAATTACCACGTAGATGGAAGCTTACTTTGAAAATACAGAGCCATATATTTTTAAAGCACACCTCCCAGTCCTTAATTTCCCAGTGGCAGGACATCAGTGCACTGGGCAGACAAGGAAGTGGGGAGCGAGACAGGGTCAGGAACCATTGCAGTGTCTGGGGCACAAGCCACTGCCAGCAGCCTGGGCAGCTTCCAGGGCCTCCTGCAGCTACACAGGGAGGGGCCCAGGATAAGAGAAGTTAGCTTTCTTCTCCAGAATGGTTCGGAGGGGTAGTGTGGATGGAGGCGCATGGTTTCTCCTCCTCTGTTTTAAAGTGTAGTTTACAACACCTTACAATGAAAAGTGATTTATCCATTCATTCTACTAAGATACTCACTGAGCAACGAGCAGGAGCCCAGTCCTCCCAGGGTCTAGGGACCAGAAGAAAAGAAGTCGGCGCATGGGTCATCGCCAGGAGGCAGAGGACTTGAATTTGGGGGAAGAGGACTGACTGATGTTCCTCAGATCTCTCTGGATCTTTCTTTATCTGGCTCTATATCTTCATCTCTTCAGGAAGGATAAAAGACAAATTAAGCAAGGCTTTCACATGAAGGACTGGCTTGGGAGTTTGATGCTAGACTTGGGGCTGGTGTCATGAGAAACAGTCTTTCATCCTCAGCAAGAGGCCTGACAACTTGCACGGGGATCAAGGATCCAAAGCTGGGGGCCTTTGTATCTGAGCAATCCCCACTAGGTTCTTTACACACGTCTTGGCTCTTAAATATTTTTGAAATCCCAGCCCTGCTCTTCACCAGCTGTCTGACCTTGAAGTTATGTCACCTCCCAGTGGCTCAGACTCTTCACCTCCTGACTAGGGATAAGGAGCACCAGCCTGCCCAGGCCTGCTCTGAGCACTCAAGCCCACCGGGGAGTGCCCTACAATCACTTTCATGATTAAATAACAAAAAAACAAAGTTTTCCCAGCCAAGGGTCCTCAGATCACAACATAAGCTCTTCAAGGTCAAAATGAAGCCCATCCCCCTTCCAAATGGTGTTTGTTTATCTGTGAGTAACACTAAATCAAACATATAGTGTATCAGAGGCCCAATTCTACCTCTGAGGTAGTAAATACATATAGGAAGGCTGAGCTCCCTAACAACAGGAGTGGAAATGAGATTGAAATCAGAGCCTTCTATGATCAAGATGCCATCCAGCAGCAGCTTAAGGTTCTAGCCAGCAGAAAGAGAAAGGAGCCCAAACTCAAAAAGTGAAGCTGCCTTTCAGTGCTGCCTGGGAGGTGCGCCCTGGGCTCTGACCTGCACAGGGGCAGGCACAGCCACACATCACACAGCGGGAATACCCGCTGGCCCCTGCATAAATGGGACATGGGAGGCTGCCCCACATCAGACCAGCTCCTCCCCAAAGAGACACTGCTCTCGGGGTGGCTGTGCTCACTGGCAAAGATCATTTTGGTAAGAACCCCCTCCTCACCCCAAGCAACCCCGCAAAGCTAGGCCCCACAGCCACTGCTGCCTCCTCCACTCCCTGACTGCCACCGTGAAGAACAACTCCAGTAGAGCAGCTAAATCAAGGACCCAAGTTGTAGGTGCATAACTTAGCTGATCCCATGGGTAATCATGGGAAGAGGTTGGTAACATCGGCCCACCCCCTGGGCTACTGGATGCCCACAACAGATTGGAGCACTAAGGCACTTTGATAACTGAGCAGAGCTCAGAGAGCAGACCAGGCGTGGCAACTGCCTACGGTGACAAGGGGATTCTTGCACTGGACGCCTACCTGCGTGTGCTCCTAACAGACCATGCCACGTGCTCTGCCCACACTGGCCTTTGATCACGGGCAAATAGGGAGTTGGCCCACCTGAGACAAATGGTCACTAATGCTCTCATGCAGCACAGCACTCAACAAAATGTAGCTTGTCCTAACCAGTGCGGCATCACACTTGGGAACTAAAGGTCCAGGTGGCTGGCTGGCTGGATTTAAACAAAGCCCAGAGTAAGACTTTCTACTGTTCCATGGAACAGGGTGGAGAAAGGAAAGGAAGGGAGGGAGAAGCATTCAGTGGGATATCCCCAAGGACGGCCATTTATTCTGTCCCCCTTCTTTCCTCCACTCCCTTGCAGTTCTCAGAGGCAGGAGAGGCAGGCGAGGCAGGCAGAGGAACACAGGTCGGGGCTGTTTGCTGCCTGAAGCCTAGTCCTCAGGCTTCACAGATCACAGGTGTCAGTAAGCACTATGTCCCTTCACTTTACCAAGCTGCCCTGTCAACATTTAACTTCGTACATATGTGACAAACATACTGTGAAGCGCTGAAATACCAGATTCTTTCTCATGGACACCGAAGCTCTTACTGCCTGCACTTCGGACCTGCCTAAAGCAATACTTCACACACCATTAACTGGGTTAACGTGAGCATCAAGGAGGGCCCAGAAGGTAGGCAGGAAGAGCACCACCAGGAAGGCAACTCAGAGGGCTTCTAAGAACCTAGCAAAACCCCACATTTAACAAGGATGGTGGGCATATGTGAGTTTATGTTCACTCTTTAAAGTTTCCATACAATTATATACACCCCATATAGATATAACTTGAACACTATTGCTTAAAATTGATGAAATGCCATTTTTCTCTACTTCTAGAAATAATAGTTCTTCTGCCACTCACTCTTCTGTATATGTTTCATGTATTATCACAGTTAGTCCCCACCACAACTCTGAGGGGTGAGGACCATTGGCCCTTCTTCCAGGTGGGGACACTGAGGCACAGAGCAGTCCTTGTGCACAATCACATGCCAGCTGTGAAGCCATATTCAGACACGAAGCTCTCAGCCCTTCCCAGTCAGCAGAGGCCACCGTGGACCGGTACTCCACCTCAGCCAGGGGATGAGGATGTGGGGCCCTGACCCGCAGGGCCTTCCCGGGAGGCATTCAGTGATCACTCTCACATCACGACCTAGACTTGTGCCCCGTCTGACCTGGCAATTCCTCTACACAGAATCCAGGGGAAACAGTCAGAAGTTCAGACTAAGATTTATATTACAAAAACAATCATTAAGAAACAACCCTTAACAACTGGAAACAGCCTGCGCATCCAGGACAATGGTTACGATTGCTTACCCGCCAGGGAGGTGGGACAGTGAAGAAAGCCAACGTGTGTGTTCAGTGAAAACAGCAGCAGGGAAGACTGCTCAGGTACACAATAGGGTCCTGATTTGGTTAAAAAAAAAAGCAGAAAGGAAACAAGGACGACCTCTGGGTGAGGGTAAGACGGATCTTCCCGTTGGCTCTCTTTTAACTATTAACCTTGACAGCCGGGAAGGCCAAAGTCCGACCTGGATGGGGTTAAGCAGCAGCACGGGAGCCCAGCAGGTGGTGGCCTCTGAGCACCTTATCAACAGCCTGCCCCCAACCGGGGCCTGACTTCTCCATGGGACCCACTCTTAAGTTCTCTCTGGTTTCACCAGCTTATTCACTCAAAAGGGACTCAATGTATTTGCTAGTGAGCAGACGGATGAACTAGTACCTTGTACATACAGATCCTATGTGCGGGGCAGAGATAGTTCACACCCGCGGAGGCCCAGCGTGGAAATCCTGTTACTGATTTTCAAGCCCTTCATCACGGAGCTGTATCAGAAAAACAGCAGCACTTCAAAGATAATTAATCCAATCCATATACTTAAGATTCCATCTCACAGCCAAAAAACCTTGGATAAATCTAGAATGAATATGCATTAAAAGCTTTACTCAGAAAAACCTATTAGTCAGAAAACAGTATCAACAGGTTTTTGCCTCCTGTCTTACTAAAATTAATAATTTAACCTATTAAAGTTGACAACTAAGAAAAACTGAGTTTCTAAAGTCACATCAATCATATGCCACTTAAATACAAAGCTTTCCTTGGGAATTAAATTCATTCAGCAAACATTCCCCCAGCCCCATCTAGTTCAGAAACTAGATCAACAGCAGCAGGTCATCTCATGATTCTTTGAGGCCAGCAGGTGCTGAGCTGTTTCCCCTCCTTGCAACCCTGGAACCTCCTCTTTTCCACTCTCCAGCTTCTGACTCTGGCTTCTTACAGGAAACCTCCCTCAGCCACCAAGACTAAAAGGTCAAAAGCTAAAATAAAACCTAGAGCACATGAGCACTTCCAAAGAAATCAGAGCCTTTTTCTGGGTTCCAGCTCTACCAACCCCTCCACTGCAGCCCCCCTCCGCCTCCCTGGACCTCCCTGATGGGCTAGGGACCCTCAATGCTCCCCGCCGTCTGACTGAGCAGCCCACCCATTCACCTCCTCACTGACACCCTCTTCCTCCACATCCCCGTGTCCTCAGCCCCATGTGGACCGCACTGCAGTCCCTACTTGCCGGCCCAAGGCTTGCGTACCCTGAGCAAACAGCACCTCCCCCTGCAAGTTACAAGATCCTTGAGAGCAGCAAAGGGACCCGTGGGAACTTCCCAAAGCTCCTTAAAATGCCCTGGATTTTGTTTACCTCCCATCAGTGTTTCCCACACATAAACATATCACCACAATGATATGGTAACTGTTCCAGTAAACCTAACAATTATAAGGAAAATGCTGAATTAATGTGGTCAAATTCTTGTTTTTTAATCCTCAGAAGTTTCTCCCTCCTTGAAATAGGAAAAAACAGAACAAAAACAAGCCCCCAGAATGTCCCCAGCCATATGAATAAATGTCATCTGGCAGAAACACCCCTCCAGCAGAGTAAACTTCTCTGGTTTGCAATAGCAGAAGAGAGAGTCAGCTTATTTTTCTCAGAGAATGCCTATCCTGACACCTGAACAGGCACTATAAACACATGTTCTCCCTTGCTGGGCACCCTATCTGCAGAGGTTGAATAAATAGTTCCTTATTGGGAACAACAGTGCTGCTGAGACACAGAAGAAACTCTGCCCCAATGTGGGGCCACCTTCCCCAGCAGAGCCTCACCGCCTCAGCAGCACGCAGAGGAAGAGCTATTTTGTCTAGCACAACGTTCATCCACACCTCCACCAATCACCAGTTTAAGGACAGTTACCAGACAAAGGAATGAGGAGGAAGGAAAGAAGGGTAGGCAGGCAGGCCAGTCTCTACTGCACCTTCTCCTGGCCAACTCCAAGCACCTGACACATACTGTCAGGCGCCAGAGTCCCAGGGTGGACCCTCAACGCCCTGAGGTCCACCTGCCTGCTGCCACGAGCCGCCACCACCATTCTCTTCAAGTCCTTTGCCCTAAGACCCGTGCCCTGGTCTTTCTTCCTACCAATTCCTACCTGCTTAACTGCCTTGTTTTTGCTGTGTTTGGCTATGTGGAATGGAGATTGGAAAGGCTAATCTGGAGATGGAAGGTAAGACAAACCAAACTCATGATTTATCCTGAAATGCTTATCTTCTGAGTTCTGAGCTAGAAGAAACTCCAAACTTTGCTCTTGGCTCAATCTAAAAGCCCCAAAGTCACAGCCCACAGGTTGGTCTGTGACTCAAGACAAAGGTCTTTAAATAACAAACAACACTGTACCTCACTTGAAAGAAAAAAAGCCCAAGGAGAACCTGTC